TTGTCGTCGTCGTCGTCGTCGTCGTCAGTTGCTGGATGTACAACGAAACACCCCAAGTGACAACCTCCATCCAAGTCTCACACTCATCGAAAAGAAGCAACCATAACCCGCCACACTGATTCTAGCGCCACGTCTCAACGGTCAAGCCCTTCCTAGCGCTTGGGATCGAGACCCTTTTTCAGCATAGTCCATTATTGAACTTTCCAGCGAGAAAAAAAGCCTCAGCACAGTGTCCGCAGTCCGAGACCATGGCGCGCGTCTCTAATTAGTTCATCTTGTCTCCTTCCCTTTCTCTTCTCGAGCAACCACCCCCACCCGCCGCCGCCGCTACTAGGCGCATCTCTCCACGGCAACCGTACCAGACAACGGCACAGTTGCTGTGGAAGAAGAAGATTTACAGTTGGCGCCGCGGGCTGCAACGATCTATTGAAAAAAGGGGGAGAGCGCCCACCAATATTAACATGTTCCAGATTTGTTGAACGAGATGTTCTGACTCGAATGTGTGAACTAAACAGAAGTCTGCAGGTACGACTCATGGTGAGGTAGAGGTTGTGGCCAAGGCCAGGAGGTTACGATAGAGACGGCAATAGCGATGACGATAGATAGTGACAGTAACAGAAAAGCAAGACATAGCCATGGAAGCAAAAGACAGAAAACGCAGACAGCCTCTAACCACCTAGTAAATGCCACGATGCTTCGGACATCACCACGACTCACGAGCGCCATGGTTCATATTCTGCAGAATCTGGGCAAGTACGATGAAATCAAATACCACATTCTATGAACCACCTCGTTCCATTGCGCAGACCACAGAACCAAGTACAGTGTTCGCCGAGCCTCGGGGCCGTATCTCAACACCCGGTGCGACCCCCGTAAGCCGGCGCCGACGCCGGGTGGGGGGGCAGGTTCAGGTCCACCTTGCATGCAGCATGTCCACGTCGCCTCGCCCGGCCCGAGTACTCGAGATATGACATCCACTGGCTCCCGATGCGCCGGGTATCCAGCCCGAACATCGCGTGCCACGCAATCCTCAGACCAAACTCCAATTCTAGCACACCCCGCTTCCTACTTGCTCGAAGAATCGGTAATCAATATCCAGAAGCTGGTAGCAAAGCACCGCACTGTGGAAGATGGAGACGGGCCCCCCTTCAGGTTCCTACACGATGCCCGAGACGGGGCCCCCATCGGCGAGTGTGGAATTTGGGGACCAAACTTTCCCACACCGCCGTCGGATTCCATTCCCCGATATCTTTCAGCCTTACGAGCTAATCACCTTGAGTGAAGCCCCCCTCCCCGACTACAAGTATCTGCCCCCAACCATAGGTATCTTTTGGAGAAAACCCGAACGATGGCGGCCCGACGGGCGGCGTTTATGCGTTGTTCATGAGTAAAGCTGGGTGAATGGCTGAGGGGCAGCACCGTTGCGGGAGGGATCTTGCCTGTACAAGACCCGAGCTAAAGAGCTCGTCATTACGGGAATTGAAGGGAGCTTTGGGCACCAACAGCAGCAACTAACCCAGCCCAACATCGCGATTCACATGCTTTTCCTTCCAAGTTCAGGTCCTTTGGTCTCTGTAGTGGAGAGTTGGTGACAGCCAGCTCCAACACGCGCGGCTTTGCATTTCGTCGGACTCAGTTCCGGTCCTTTCGCATTCCTTCCCCAAATGCTCTATCGACGTTTATCGTCTGCGGCTCAAAGGCCGTGCGATGTAAAAATTCCAATGTGTGCCTCCCCTGGCATGAGCTCTTCGCTACAAGCTTTCATAATATCCTCTTTTCGAGTACCGTGTCTTCAAGAAAAAAACCCCGTAACAGCCAGTCGCCCAGCAAGAAGTGTCTCCCAGTATGTCTTTCAGTCCTTCCATTCCAGAAGCTTCCCGACCTCCAAAACGCCAACCATATCTCCCTGGTCAAGCACAGCCAGTATAGAATCCGCGCGACAGACGTACTCGCCATCGTCGGCCGCTCCTTGCATGTTCCTCACAAAGTTCACCGCCCGCCGTATTGTCGTCTCCGACGAGATGGATAGCATCTCCGCTCTGGGCACCATCAGCCCCGGGATCTCATTTAGACACCGCGCAAAGTCTTCCGTCGCCAGTTTCCTGATCCGGCCCGGGGACGCGACGTCGTTGCCTATGCGGACCCAGCCCGAGGTCGAGTCGTACGCTGCCCGGAAGAGGTCCGCGCCGACGCTGTCTGTACACAAGCCCACCAAGTCTGGGATGTCCGTCCAGGGAACGGCAAGGTCCAAGATGGTCTGCGGTTTCCTAAACGCAGCGCCAATAGCACCTCCCGGGTGGTTCTTCGAAAACACTTGTGACATGCTGGGATGCAGCTCCTGACCCGCAGCAATGGCGAGCGCATCACCCACAGCCAAAGCAACGGTCGTAGATGTCGTAGGTGCGGATACACCAAACGACGCCGTTTCGCTTTCGTGAATGGGTGCCGGCAGGAGAATGGTGTCCGGCCTGAGCTTGATGAGCTCACACGTGTCCGGCCGAGTGTGTCCCGTGAGTATGATTAAAGAAGACGGCTTGTCCAGGTGAGGCAGCAGGTTGAAAAGCTCTGACGTCTTGCCGGAGAAGGTGATGAACATGAGGATATCGTGTTTTTGCACTATGCCGAGGTCTCCGTGCAGGGCGTCGATTGGGTTCAAAAAGACGGACGCAATGGAGAGGCTGTTGAAGGTCGCGACCAGCTTGTTGGCAATATGTCCGGACTTGCCCACGCCCGTGATCACGAGCTTACCCTTCTCGCCCTTGTGCCGTGTGATTGCTGCGACCGTGCGATTGAAGCCGTCCCGGGCAACTGGATCTGTCTCATACAGCGCGGCAACTGAGCGCAAGGCTGCCGCTTCTGTCTTAAGTACGTGTGTTGCGGCGTGAAGACGGTCTTGTACTGTGACTGAATTCTCGTCTGTCTCGAGCATCTCGTCGGGCGATCCCAAGCTGAGCTCTTCTAATTCTTCGAGAAATTCGTCCTCTGGAGGTGACACCGGTGGTGAAGGCGGCGACGGGGGCGGCATCGATTCGCAGTGAGGAGCGCCCAGCACGTATACTGCGCTGGTTTGCACCGGCCGGTGCTCTGTATAACGAGAATCTCCCATGATTATGATGTTCGGTTGTGAACAGTAAACACAGCTTGAGGTGAAGCAGTTGACGATCCGATCGCACGTTGTCGTCCAAATAATTCGCAGGCTTCGTTACCGTTACCAATCAGGCAGAGTCAAAGTGTCGCCGTAAACTGAAATTCGTAATGCGCCTCGTCCCTTTGAAAGTTTGCTCTGTGGTGGGGGAATATGCAGGCGAGGACAGCTGCGCGGGATCACACAAAATAAAGGCCCAATTCACCTGAGATTGAGTCGCGGGGAGCAGCTGGAAAGATGAGCAAAGATGTAACCAAATTCCATGACGTTGAGAAAGATTGCGGCGGCCGGGGTTTAATGAGAATTTGTCCGAAGCGCGCGCGCGCGAGTTGAGTTCAAGAGCAGAAAAAGCAGGTCGAATACGTAAGATATGTAGAGATACCGAGGACCCTGCGCGAAAAGCGAGCGAGCTTTCCAAACTCACCTTAATTGCTGCCCCTCCACTCGGGGCTACCCTTGGCTTAGCTTCACGCATAGTGGGTAGCTGTCCCCGATCCGGATGCCACGACTGGCCGATAACCCCATCTCTTGGTGCGGCATGTCGCGCGTGGAAGGGATGGCTCTGTATGCCCTGCCTCTGGCGTGATCGAGCCTGGCGCCCTGACTGGATCCCCGAAGGAGGGACGGTTGGTAATCAGATCCGAGGCGGATAGTCTCGAGTTCCATGAGAAAGCTTGGAAAAGTACAAGCCTCATGCTTTGTGGACGTAGATGGCGCTCCCACCGGTTCCGGGAAATCGAGTCATTCAAGGGGGCTCATTGGCTTCGAGAACGATGAGCCAGACCGAACAAAGATACGGGCGCGATAGACAGCGTGCGGCGTGTGTTCCTCCCAAGCAGCAGATAGGCAGAAGGTCGGAATCACAAGCAGCCCGAACCCTGTCCATCCGGTGGGGTTCCGCGAGTCTATGATCCATCGATGTTTTTTTGAGCATGCGTTAGACATCGATGCGGCCAAACAAGGCGATGATGCGTGCGTTTGGCAGACGTCAAAATCGACCATCCTGGACTGCCCTGGCCAGGTGCTATTCCAGGAGAATTTTCTTGACCGCCGTCAACACAGCTCAGGCAGATAAAACTGGCGTTTATTTTGTTTTTCGTGGCCGGCTAAGGTTGTTGTGAAGATCGGATCGGATTTCAGCGGAGATTTCGGTTGAAATTTCATGGGTGTACAGAGTACGATCGCCGAAGACCCTAAAGACCCTGGCCGCAGGTGTCAACGAGACCGCAAAAGGCCCGACCTCCGCTTGAGATCCGCTTCGAATGTCGCTGGATTGGCTTTGCAATTCGAATTGTACAGCTGTCGTGATTCATAAACTTTTGGTGTTTTGTTTCCTGAGTCGCGTTGCATTCGTTCAACCCTCTCTTGTGGGATCATCGTTTGCCGTTCTCCGGGACTTGCAACTCGATCTCCCATTAGCCGGAGTGAGATTGTGCAGGAGCAGCTTGCAAGCCAATCAAAAGAGGCATGAGCAACACGACTCCTGGATCCGAACACTGCGTTGCCATGCACGGCAGTTGACACGAGAGCGAGAATAAGGATCGCTGGAGCTGTGCTAGCGAGAGCCAACCATGTTGTGGTATGACAGCTTCGCTGTGCAAGTTTGTCACTGTCGCACTCAGGAGAACCAAACCACGCCGGCGACCAGATAGTTCTCAGTATGGCGAGAAATCGTTCAAAAGAAGGCAAAAAGGCAACCTCCAGATGATAGAATGGATGCGAGAAGCAGCAATCCAAACGTCGTTCTCTGCGTTAGAAGTCGCCGTCCTCCTTGTTTTTGACTGCTTTAATTGTCCTCGTCCTTGCCCTTGTCATTCTTTTGCCTCAAAATCCCTCGTTCTTCGTACTCAGCGACATGCATCTTGGCGCAGCCATCGTCGCGGCTCTGAGCCTTACAGGCTATGCATTCCCGAAACAGCGACCTGGATACCTCCGGATGCTGCCGCGGGCCAACGACACCGAAATTTCGTGCGGGCAGACCGAGTACACGCTGACCGAGGTGAGATCGGCGGCGGATGCGGCTTGCCAGCACGTGGAGGATGACACGACGGCGGGCAGCTCGAGCTATCCGCACACGTACCGGAACCAGGAGGGTTTTGACTTCAACGGAGTTGAGGGCCCCTTTGTCGAGTTTCCGATGAAGACAAGTGGTGTCTACAAGGGCGGTAAGCGATTCAGTGCAAATGGCATTTGTCGGTTTGCCTAGGTGGTGAGATCGGCGATCCGGGCGTGGGTGCTTGTGCAAGCTATTAGTCGCAGCTCGCCAAGTCGCATTAGCGGCAGGGCTGGCTGCTCCCCTCCCCCCCGCGATGCAGCGCCATCTCCATGATTTGAGTAGAGAAAGTGAGGCTTGAGCTGACAGGTTTCTCGTGATGATAGGCAAGCCAGGAGCAGACCGGGTAATCATCAACGAGAAGTGTGTTTTGGCAGGCCAGATCACGCACACGGGAGCCAACGGCAATGCGTTCGTGGGATGCGAGGGCACCAGCTAGGCGCCTATTGGATGGTTGGCTTAGAGAGGCGATGCTGATAACGGTCTTGGTGTTTACCCCCCACGATCTGCTTTAAGCGTCTGACAGAGCTGCCTTGGTGGTTTGAAAAGCGGTTAGCACGGCTAGGACAGCGAAATTACGGCCACGTCGCCGACATTCTTTTTCTTGACGATTCTGCTCCAGCCCCTCTAATTCGTGTCCTTTTCTCGAGAAATTTCGTTTCCGCAGTGTAACAATTCGTCGCATCTCGAAGACGCACTCTCCATCTGCCGGCGGCAAGCGATGCGCGAATTGAGGTGGGATGAATGCAAGATGCCCATCTCGGAATTTGGTCCGTGCCGGTCGAGCGGTGAAGGCTAAGGTGAAGATGAAGGGCCGTCCTAACAATTTCGAGTCAACGCTAGGGCGAGGTAATCTTGGTCAGGACGCAGGCGGTTGCAGCAACGGTGCGTGAGAAGTGACCGCCGGACGGAGAGAAGATGGTGGTGGTGGTGGTGGTGGTCAGTGGACAGTGGGCGATCAGCGAGAGGAGACGACGGACGAGTACCTACGCTGAACGAGAGTGGTTGGCTGGTGCTGCAAAGGCCGTAGCTACCGGCCCTGCTTGGCAGTTGCCTGCCTGCCTCTGTACCTGCCACACTGCAACAGGAGGCCAGAGACGAGCAAGGTACATTTGGACGCTTCACGTTTTGGTGTGAGCATCACCAATTCTGCGACGAAAGCATTGTACCTCTGCCTCCCGCCCCCGGTGCATCATCCAGCCCCCGTCCCTTCTCATGTTACCAAACCCACCTGCACCACACGCGTACGGCCACAGGCCTCGACCACTCACTGGGCGGCTTACCGGTTTGGGGAAGCAGGTAGCGTCATAACTGCAGCCAGTCTGCCCACCACCAGCTATTGATAGGCAACCCCCCCAAGACTTGCATGTTTCCCATCGAGTTGCCTCCTTCTTTCCCATGGGAGCAACTTGGCATCTCTTTCTTCCTGCCTCATACCAATCTTGCCAGGCAGAGAGGAGGGAAGAAAGGCGAACTTTGTCCCGGAATACGACACCTTGCCGACTGCGAAAATGACACGAGTCTCTGTTTACAGCTCCGCCCTCGTGGCTTTTGTTGCCGGTAAGTACCTACCACCGTATCTTTTCTTCGCCGGGCCCCCAGGGCAGGCAAAACGGGAGGGCGACGGTCGGGGTATCCACCTTTGCATCGTCGTCATCGCCCGTTTCTGAAGCTCGAAGCTGGGCGCGATGGTGGCGCCTGGGGATTGCTTCAAGCACATCAATCGGCAACAACAGCATGCATCTTCGATTTACGATGGCTAACATTCTGCTCTGCCAGCGACGGCGATGATCGTTACGTCCATCATATTGCCGCACTGGGTTTCTTACTCCGTCACCGCCACCGACGGCAACGAGTTCTCAAAACACATTGGATTGCACAAGATCTGCTCCAACGTCGGGCCTGGCCCGGCGTGCAAAGTCTTCCCGACCGACGAGCTGTGTAGTAAAGATGGCGAGAGATATTTCTGCTCCATGTGGCGTTCTGTAGGCTTCCTTGCCTCCTTCTCGACAATCATGCACCTCGCGTCTTTGGTCACCTTCCTCGTCATCATGAGCGGAGGCAAGTACAAGCGCGAGACGGGCTGGAAGATCCTCGGCGGGCTTCTGATTTTTGTCGCGGCCATTGAATTCACTTTGATGGGCATTGTGGTAAGTCTAAGGCAGCTCGGCGATGATATGGCCCGGGGCAACGAGGCTGACAAGCATACCAGGCGTACCTCTTCGACAATGACGAGCAGTTCCGCGTCCCTGGCTGGGGTCTCGACACATCGTGGATTCTCTGCACCGTCAGCGCATCCGTCTCTGTTCTTTGCGCTTTGGGACTGGGCATTTCCGCATTTGTTCTCCCACCGGAGGAGGGCTACGAGTTCCTCAACGACCCGCTGCCGTGATCCAAAGGACCAGGATGCTGAATGCCCGAAACACGCTAGAGGCTCAATCTTCATTTCTTGCAGGCATAAAGGGAAACGGAGTTTGCATACTATTTTTCGCCAATTGGGGAGTTGTTCTTTCCTTGTTTTGGTCAGCGGCTATGATGAGAGCGATGAGTGGCTCGCATCTGGTTTATGCGCTGCCGAATAATTTACATATGAGATATATAAGTTCAATCTTTGTTTGGAAGCATGAATCCACGATGCAGCTCAAGCTCGGGTATTCTGCTGGACAAGAGTGAGGCGATAGAGATAAGCGCTTGGGGGCAAGTGCGGGGCCGGCCGGTCCCCGCATTCATACCTTCCAAATTGTCAAACATCCAACGGCGCGCCATGGCCTAACTTATATGAGCCCTTCAGCTCCCAACAAGCCTCTTTAATCTCATCCGCACACCTTCAAGCTTCACATCTTCCTGGAGCTCAACCCAAGGTCTTAGACCATCTCCCTTTCCCTCACAAACCAGCGGACCAACAACCCGGTTGACTCATCCCACCATGACGGTCCCCGCGCAAGAAGAGGGCCTCACAGCCTCCCAGCTCGCTTCCTTCAACCGCGACGGCTACCTCATCATCCCCGGCGCCCTCTCCCCGGAAACCGTCCGGGGCCTGCTCGCCGAGACCCACTCGCTCCTTGAGAACTTCTCCCTCGCCGACCACCCCATGACGCGCTTCTCCACCGGCGAGAAGGCAGACCACGTCGGCGACGACTACTTCCTCACCTCGGGCGACAAGGTGCGCTTCTTCTTCGAGGAGGACGCCTTCGACGACGCAGGCAACCTCGCCAAGCCCAAGGCCCGCGCCATCAACAAGATCGGCCACTACCTGCACGTGCTCTCCCCGCCTTTCGCCGCCGTCTCGGACCCGGCCTCGACCGCTGCCGTCCGGGGCAAGCCGGCCGCCGTCGCACGCAGCCTCGGCTTCAAGGACCCCCGCTGCCTGCAGAGCATGGTTATCTGCAAGCAGCCCGAGATCGGGGGCGCCGTGCCGCCGCACCAGGACTCGACGTTCCTGTACACGGACCCGCCGTCGGCCGTGGGGTTCTGGTACGCGCTCGAGGACGCGACGCTGGAGAACGGGTGCTTGAGCTTCTTGCCGGGCAGCCACCGCTGGGCGCCCGTGGCGAATCGGTTGGTAAGGAAGGCCGGGGACAAGGGCACGGAGATGGTGGAGAACCAGGGACCGCGGTTCCCGCCCGGGGATGAGTACGCTGCGCAGAGCGAGGAGGGGAAGGGGGCGTATGTGCCCGGCGAGGTGAAGGCTGGCGACCTGGTGCTTATCCACGGCAATCTGCTGCACAAGAGCGAGAAGAACCTGAGCCAGAAGGGGCGGATCATTTACACTTTTCACGTCATCGAGGGCGAGGGCACGAAGTATGATGAGAAGAACTGGCTGCAGCCGCCTGAGGCTGGGTTCACCAAGTTATATGCCTGAGTCATGGGTATCAGTCTGCCCCAAGAAAAAAAATACAAAAAGATCCATCTAGTCTGGTTTCCCAACCATACGAGTGTGAAGACGTCAAAGGTTGTACATGTATCTGGCTTAGTCTGCCCGCTTTATCACCTCTTGCTGGCAGACTTCTTCTTCTTCGTAGTAACCTCCTCTTCCGAGCTGTCATCGTCGCTGCTGTCGTCGTCGTCTTCCTCCTCGGACGAGGACGACGAGCTGCTGGAGGTCTCCTCGGCATCCCGCTGCGCAGCCTGGCGCTGCACCTCAGACTCGTTGTCGGAGTCGTCATCCGACGAGTCGCTGTCGCTGCTCGAGTCGTCGTCAGAGTCGTCATCGGAAGACTCGTCGGAGCTGCTGTCAATGTTGGCCGTGCGCTGCTTACGACGGCGAGAGGCACTTTGCTTCGTCCCGTCATTGAGCTTCACCCTCTTGTCGACCGTCTCCTCCTGAACAGCAGCAGCAACAGTAGCAGGCTTTGCCGGCGCCTCCTCCGTGTCAATGGTCATGGCGTCGCTGTCCTCGCTCTCCGCGAGCTCCTCCAATATCGTCTCGGCGCGCATGCGCTTGATCACACGCTGCGTGATGGCGACGTCGCTCGACTGCGCCACGAAGTCGCTCTCGTCGAAGCGTTTCCTCTTGCCATGACTACCGCTATCCTCGGCGCCGAGCTGCTTCAGCCCGGCCAGGACCTTCTCGTACTCGGACTGCTTCGAGTCCGCGTCCGGCGTGCCCTCGGGGAAGGCAGCCTTGCCCTGGGCAGCGTCCTCCTTCTTGACCTCGTCCGCCGTCTCGCGCAGCCGCGTCCGCGTGTAGCCCTTGAGGTCCTGGATGTACTCGTAGAAGGTGTCGATGTCGGCCGAGGGGATGGCCTCGGTGTGGAAGACGCGCTTCATGAGGATGGACTGGTAGTTCTTGTTGAACTTCCAGGTCGCGCGGGCGTGCTTCCAGGCGCGGAGGTACTCGAGGGAGGGCTTGATGTCGGCCTGCGGCTGCTGCGTCGCGGGCTTGGCCGGCTTCTTGCTCTTGTTCTTCTTCTTTGTCGACTCGGCGGCGGCGGTGGGGTTCTTGGTGTCTTCGGTGAAGGTGACGGACTTCTGCTTCCTCAAGGTCGGGGGAGTGGCAGCAGCATGATGATGGTCGTCGGTGCGGGTCCTTTTGAGGGGGGAGCTGAACGCAGGGGGAACGGACGAGTGCTCGGGACGTTTCCTTTTGGCGGCGGCGCTGGCGGCGTCCGCCGCGCCGTTGGCGTTCCGGGCGTCGTGGTGTTGCTGATGACCGTTGGGCTTCGATCCCTCGGCAGCAGGGCCGCCAATCTCTGGGCCGGACTTGAGCTTGAGGCCCAATCGTTTCCAGGCCGGTACTTTTGCGGACATGACGGGCAGCAGCGGGCACACCCTCTTCGTTTTTTTTTTTTTTTCTGCGTCCCGGAAAGGCGAGGGAGGGAGGGGAGAGACGATCGCTGGATCGGAATTTGGTGTCTGCGGTTGCGCCTGCTGGGTCTGCGGAAGGTACAGAAAATGCAGAATTGGGCCGCTTCAATGCTCTCCACGTGTACTTGGCCTATTAGATTGGAATGCGATGGCCTCGTGTGCGGCAGTCCGATTGGGCGCGACGTGTGGTGCTCGAGACTGGAGGGTGAAAGTCGGGAATGGTCCCTCGATATTTTTTTTTTTCCTTTGGAGGCTGCCCTGCCATTTTTTTGGCAGCAGGATGCGTTGTCGTTCCCGCAGTGCCAGGGGTGCCCCGCTGTATCCCTGCTCTGCAGCTTTTCAGTGTGCACGTACCAGGCCTCGCACTTATGTAAGCGTTGCGTCGCCTGCTTGTTGCCTCAGGCTAGAGAGACAGTTGCTTGGACCAATCCAAGGCATCCACTCAGCCTTCCCACTGGAGCTTCCCGGTACGTTGCCTCGCCTGCTCTAGGCAAGGTCCTGCAAACGCGTCGATATCCCAAGAGCTCCGTCAGAGCTCAACCACCAACGTCGAACCGCCATCTCGCCCATCTTCAACCCGTCACCGACCTGTCACAGCTCACTACCGTCGAGCACGATCTTACTGAACGCAATTCGACCTACGTTGACCTAGGAACACCGCCAAGATGTCGGGTGCGTACTGGGACAGCCACCGCTACCCCGGTGACCTCAGCCCTTCGGCCGTCAATCACAGCTAACGAGGCTTCTTACCCCAGGTGGCTCAGCTTACGACCGACACATCACAATCTTCTCCGAGCAGGGAAGATTGTACCAAGTCGGTATGTATTCATCCTCCGCCCGCAGCCCGATCGATTGCCCCTCCCTGCGGTGATGCCATCGAGCGGGGCCTCCAACCACGGCCTCGAACCGCCCAACTGACGAGACGATTGCGAACAGAATATGCCTTCAAGGCCATCACAGCTGCCAACATCATGTCGATAGGTGTTAGGGGCAAGGACTGTGCCGTTGTCCTGTCCCAGAAGAAGGTTCCTGTACGTTGAGACCGTCAGCGGGGATGCAGCTGCCGGACGAGAGACTGACCCATTGAACAGGATAAGCTCATCGACCCCGCCTCCGTCTCCCACATCTTCCAGATCTCCCCATCCGTCGGCTGCGTGATGACCGGTTCCATTGCCGATGCCCGTGCCTTCTCTCAGCGTGCCCAGGGCGAGGCGGCCGAGTTCCGCTACAAGTACGGCTACGAGATGCCCGCCGATGCTCTCGCCAAGAGACTGGCCAACATCAGCCAGGTCTACACACAAAGAGTAAGCGCGGCTGAAGAGAAAATGGAAGGAGCGTGGAACTGACAAGTGATAAAGGCCTACATGCGCCCGTACGGCGTTGCGACGACACTGATCTCATTGGACTCGGAGTTTGGACCTCAGCTGTTCAAGTGCGATCCTGCCGGATACTACATTGGCTACAAGGGCACCGCCGCCGGCCCCAAGCAGCAGGAGGCCCTCAACCACCTCGAGAAGAAGCTGCGCAACAAGGACCACGCCCCCGGCGACTGGAGGGAGGTTACTGAGCTTGCCATTACGACGCTCAGCACCGTCCTCAGCATGGACTTCAAGAAGGGCGAGATCGAGATCGGTATTGTGGGAGGCCCCCGTGCAGACGGCCAGGAGGGAACCGACCCCGGTTTCCGTACGCTGACCGAGGACGAGATCGATGAGCGGTTACAAGCGATCGCGGAGAAGGACTAAGGTGGAAGAGACGAGAACCGGCTAGTGGAAGCTGGATAGGGTCGGTGCGTCCGATGAAGAAGTCCGCTGGCGACGTCGATTCCGCCAACAGACCAGATCGCGCCTGGCCGCCGCGGGATGTGTAGACGAGAGTCGAGCTGGTAGTCTCACGAAGCCAGACCCCCCGCGCACGATTGTACTACTAGCCAGCCTACAATTTGATATAGATCAAGACATGCAAAAGACGTTGCCATGATCAATCCAATGAGATTCAAGCATTGTCCGGCCGTGTAGCCCTATGCGGCCTGGCTGAATGCTGGGGGACGGCAGGTATGAGAAGAAGCACGTCTGTGGCTTGACAGAAGGCAGCGGAGAGATGAATTGACGGTTGGTGTCTCGGATGCCGAATGTTAGGGAGATTCGAGACAGCAGACACGGGGCTGTTTCCGTGGGTTGAAGGCATTCACATCGGTAGGCATCCTTTGGGAGCCCCCCGGATCACGGGCGCAGAGTTTCGCCGAGTAAGTGAGACGACTTGTGAGACGGTTTTCCACAGGGCGACGACTGGCATTACGGTCGTGGTATCTTGGAGTAAGAAAAGCAAGCAACGGGCAGCGGGCATGTGGAGTTCAAGCCACCGCGGCCACAAGAAGGCTGAACTGACACGGCTCTCACGGCGAGTCCTGACACGCGAACATTTGAGGGCGGCCTTACTGTGAACAGCTAAGGTCCCTTTCCTCGCTGTCGGCCCCCACTGTTGGGGACTAGGGTTTGCCAATCGCGGTGTTAGGTTTGTTGCATTGCACTTCAAACACGAGCCCACGGGTGTGGGAGCGAATGAAGCACGGGAATGGCGTCCAAGACATGAGCTGGATGGATCAGCCCTTCGAGACGCTCCGTCCAGTCTGCTTCACAGCAATCGGATCCCCACCAGGAGAAATTCTCGAGTCTGCCTTCTGCTAGGACGCAACGGGATAGAGACCATGCAGCCGGCGTCTGGCGGCTACTTGCTGCTAGGGAATGGGTGGTCGTCGTTGAGGATTTGGACAGTGCATGGAGAGAAAGTGGTAAGGACAAGGGAGCGGGCGAGCGAGATAGGCATGGCTCGCTCGCTCCAATGCGGGTGGCAGTTTTTAACGGATGGAGCGGCGGTGCGTTCAGCTGGAATAAAACGTGCCAAACGTGGGCAGACGTCGAGGATAACGGTGCTCATTGGCTACAGGCGCGGTGAAGCCTCAGCACCTGCAACCCGGGGCCCTGCCAGAGCCTGCAAGAGCCCTGTCACTGTCTCCAGCCCGTTTCCCAATCCGGCCGCCAAGAGTGGTGTGGAGTCAGCTGAAGATCCACCGACCTTACCTTATTCTTCATCCCTGCTGCCAGCCCTGGGGAAAACGACGTGGACATTTCACACTGCGAGACCACCTACCGACGAAGAATACCGTGGGACCGTCACCGCGGGCTCGCACTCTGGCCTGGGCGGACTGCCTGCTTGGGCCAGACCGACCTCAGACCGACCGGCCAGCCGAACTTTGCCTATCAGAGACTTCTTCTTCTCCTTCTGCTGTCTGCGTCATCCCATCTTTTCTCCCCCGGTCCCTGGTCCAATGTCCACACCCAGGACCATACCCATCACGGCTAGCAGGGCAAAATACCTTACAGTAGTCCACCTTTGGGTCAGGCTTCTGTGTCTCTGAGATGGTTCACAGTTCTGCTCTATGCCCACCATCGCGAACGAGCGTTGCCTTACCACACGCACTCGACTACTCAACGAACGACTCACTGCCCACACCCTCGTTCTCGGGCTTGGTCTCACATCCCGCGCAGCCTCAAGGGCATCTGTCGAGCGACTGAGGTCCAATCCGGGCCTTCTCAGCCCCTTGGCTTGATGTGGCCCTGACCCCTACAGCACATCAATCAATATGACAGCCCTGCAGGCGACAGCCGGCAGCCCCCCCCCCCAGCAGCCCAGACCATCGAAGCCCTGCAGGCATCGAGCACGCGAGTTGCATCATCATCGCCAGGCCTCCCGAAGAGAAGAACGGTCAACCCCAGTCAACCATATAATTAGCATCCCACAGCAAAATGTGTGTCTCTCCTACCTACGACACCCACCTCTACCTCCTCCTCGCGCCGGGAACCAGGGGCGGCCGCGCGCGCCACCAGCTCGGCTGGGGTCAGTCTAGCTTTGAGCTCGCAACGCCATCCCAACTGCCAGGTCCCCGTCGCCGCCCTTCTTTTTTCTCCGATTCGTCGGCCGGGACTATCAGCGAACCGGGGGCCAAGGTGTCTTCAGACGAAGGACATGAACCACCATTGGTCAAGCATGTCGAATGAGCTCATGCATGCCCTATGGGGCTCCTCCGCCGTTCGGGACTTTCACTCCCCCCAAAGGCAAAGAAGGCTACTGCTGCTGCTGCCGTTGCAGGCTGCCAGCTATCATACCCTACCCTACCCTATTCCCTGGTAGGCCGAGCAAAAGCTTGAGATTGCGGTTTCGTGACGGAGCATGCCTGCCTTGGGTCTCGTTGACTCTCATCTTCCAATCCGTAATTTTCGTGATTCATTCTTTCTCTTCCTCCCCTTCGTCTCTTGTTTGTCTTTCCTGGGAGGCCGTCGAGAATGTACAAAAGCCGAGCGGCGTGGCGTTTGATCAGTCTTCAATGACACGGCATCAAGCAGCAACTTCATCTACAACAGTCTCTCGTTCACCTCATCGGCGCCTTTCTATTGCGAGCCTTCTCTTATACCAGGTCACTTTGACTCTTTTCAAACTACTTTTAATCACTAAACTCTACGATTGCTCGCGCAATTCGCTGCTATGGACGGGTGTAAGTTCACCATCACAGGCGTCTGGAGGCCCGCCCTCTTGCGCCGGACGATTCAATAGCTGTATCTCTGACCTGCCCCTAGTCAACGAATACCGGACCATTCGAGTCGCCGAGGTTCTCTCCGACTTCCGGACTCTGCAGTACTACATCGCTGCGGCGCCCACAGATCCCCCCAACATGGAGGACTATTACACGGAGGGGTGGGCAGCATTGCGCCAGTGCTCTCTTGACGGGCAACACGTCCTCAACTGCGCCGCCGACACCAGTGTTCCGCAGGCAAGCGGCGGGCCGCTTGAGCAGGAGAAGGCGGAGTTGAAGCAGTTAGTCGCTGTTGCCCATCGATCGCGACATGCTCGCATCGAGTACTGACCCTGGGACTCCACAGATGCCTCCTCGACTCGTTCGCCAGACGACACGAATGCCAAAAGATCTATCTCCGCCAGGCTGCTGCGCAGCGGTGGGTGAGCAACCGGGACGGCGTCCTTCAAGGCGGCAGGCCGACCAACAGGAACCAGTCACACCTTAGGGCATGTGACCAGCAGCTCAGAGTTGTACGTGATGTTATTTGCTTTCCACCTTGCCCGCTGTTTCTGGGGAGATTGATATCATGGAGGCCGGTTGTTGCCAGTTCCCAGGTCGGAATGCCAGACTAACACGGACGGGTTCATCCAGGAACTCTCTGCGATTACCGATGAAACCATATACAACGAGCTGCAGATGTCGGACCGCACGATGGGCCGCTGGACGGCTGAGGACCCTAGCCTTCGGAGCGTGCAGCGCTGGCTTCGCGCGCGACGACCGTAAGGCATGCGTATCGCGGATGTCAACTAAACCCCACGTGTTGTTGCGAAAATGACGAAGATGGATGTTTGATGAGGTCATGAGACGCCTTTCTCTCTCGCTGGCATCCGGGGTTTCTAATTTTGTATAAAGGGCGCATGGAGGATACCAAACATAATACACGGGAAGAGCGATAATGGGTTTCCTTGGTCCTATTTCAAAAGAATTTCATCTCCTTTTCCATTTCACCAAGATATCACTAGACATTCTCTTCAAGACAAGGCGACTGGTTTTGCGCTTACGGCACGAAAGGGGTCTAGGGCGGTACCGCGGAACCCCAGAGACATTGCGGGCGAGACACGTGCAGGAGAAGAATTGGCAGAATATTTAGAAGAGAATCAACTTCAGACACACGCATTTGCCAGGCGCAAAAAAGACAATCAAGACATTTAGAGGATGTTTCGCTCCCCGTTTCGGGTTCCAAATCTTCAGTATCAAACATTCATTTTTGGATCTACACAAGCTCGGCATTGTTTGGCATGATGCGCGGCCCCCAAAAATCCACCAGAGACCTGCCCGACATTCCTCAGCGCAGATGCCCGAGACACAAGGCACGCGGCAACGATCCTCAAGGAGAGACACGTGCGTACGTGCATCTGGGGTGCCGGGGTCCCGCAGGTGCGGGCCATCCTCTGTTTCTCTCACACCCTCTGGAGCCTGAAGACCGACATCACGCTTGACCAGACCAGGACTGGCACACCAAGCGAACACGATATCTGGGGATGGTGAAATCTGTCACTATCTCTACCTGGTCTTGCTGTGGACACATAACGCTATTCCGGATAGGGAGAGGACCATTCCTAGCATTGTATCTGTGGTGCGGATAAAAAAGACTTGTTTCAGCATTCTGCGCAACCAATCGACACGCGCTGGAGACGAACTGCCGTTCTGGATGTAGGTAGGAAGGAACAACAACTCACCTCGACTGATGACTTTCTTCTCAACCCACCACTCGCCGATCACGGTGAAGAGGAAGGCTAGGGTGTTGACGATGGGGACGGTTAAGCTCAATTCTATTTTTGCCCCTCGCATCAGCAACTCACACTCTCTTTCGGCAGCATCAACCATGCCGGAGAGGAAGATGACAACACTCACCAGCCTGTCCGATGAGCAGGAAGAACCACACGCTGCCGGTGAGGTTGATCAGCAGCGGGGCGGCGTAGCGCGGGTTTCTTAGTAGGTCGACGACGCCGAAGAAGGCGCCGTAGAGGCGGCTGCGGAGCCAGCTGGCTTTCACGGCGTCGGTCTCGAGGATCGGGTGCGGCGCGGGGTGGTGGTCCTTGGCGGCGCGGCGGATGAAGGGGGTGGTGAAGCCCCACGCGAGGCCGACGAGAAGGAACCCCGCGACGTAGTTGATGGCCGCGGGCTGTTGTTGGTCGGGGTCTGGTGATGTCATGTTTTTTTGCGTTTGCTTCTTCTTGCTTTCAGGGGGTGTTGGGGAGGTTCAGCTTAGCCAGCCCTGTAGAGTCCAGCCTTATGACCGGGGGTTTTGGGGATTGGTAGGGTTGCACGAGCTGAAGGGCTGGGGTGAGGCTGCCTCGGCAAGGGTTTGTGAGAATTGATGAGTGAGTTTCCTTTCAAGTCCGAAGTCCCGGGTGGATGGTGTTCGTGATGGAGTGAAGTCGGAAGCGCGGATGAGATGGTGTGGAGGCTTGCGCGCGACGGGGACCCGGTGGAGGCGGAGGGTCCCCGCCGTGCGGTTTGTCCGCCCCACTGGCCGCGTGGCTGTGCTGAGGCTTGCGGTCCCTGATAGGCGCAGCGGGGGGTCTGATTGGCTGTGAGATGCGCTCCGCGGCGGACGCAGCCGAGCGGCTGGGCTTTTTTTCACCGACGATGATGCTGTCATCTTTAGCGCGGGGGCAGGTCAGACTATTGAACGTTTTTTTCTGGCCCTATCACGGATCACCTGAAGTTTGCATTTGGTTTCTTTCCGAAATGGGATAAAGAGGCCTCTCGCTGTCGAACTTTTCAATGATATCCGCGTGTTACTGCTCTGCAATCTTCTGCCGGCTCGTGCGACGGTGCCCGGCGGTTTGATGCCGACTGCATTAGCGAGACGACAAGCGTGGATATGAAGCACGAGCTGGATGCGCGCACGTGTGGCTTGCATGAGAAGTCATCGCAAATCGACCAGTAGCATCACAGCATGGGCACGAGACGAAACAGGCGCCGCTTGCGAATGATGGCGTCTCGCGGCTGACGGGGCCTGTGAGATTTATATTCGACTTTGTAGCTTGTGTCTAACATGATATCACCAGACGCCGGCGGGAGTCAGTAAGCGGGGACATGACAAGCACATCATCACGGCGGAATTTTTCATTGCTTTTTCGGTCTAGACTCTCGCACGTCTTGGCGCCAGTCCACGACATACCCGGTCTTCCCACTTATGAACTGCTTGGCCCTACAAAGCCTGGGTTTGTGCGGCTGCGGCTGGGGTCATTATATCTCAGGTGATTTGGCAATTTCCAATGAATGACCGACTCGCACCAGACCTTACGACACCGACTAGCTGCATCTTGACATAGGCCAACGTCTACCTACGACTTAATCTTCCGACCCGAACGGTGAAGTTGCTGCGTCGTTCGGCAGTTGATGTAAGGCTCGTATCTCCATATGTATTGCAACGCACACCGGGAACAGAGCGATTGGTGCTGAAGCAACCCGGGCCCATGGCGTCCGTCGACCAGGCTGGCTGGCCGAAGACGCTAGTGCATGTCTATACCGCGTCGACGGCCAATTGGGCGGGGATGAGAAAGGACCGGGCAAAGGACCTAAAAAGTGTTAGTCGGCGGGAAGATGAGAAAGGACGATGGCCGTTGAGGAGATGACGGTGAGAGAGAGGATGGGCTTCTCAATATCTACCCTTCCCGCCCTCCCTCATCCCGCATCTCAGTCGTCCCTGACGATCCTTTCCCAAAGCATCTTTCACATTCTCCCTTTCCCCAGAGCGTGCTTCAGACAGCCGCAGCAAATGTCTGTGCCCCGTTACCCCAGACGCTGGCCTGTCGTTGACATCATGACTTCCTTTGAGGTCTACGATGAATCATCAGTCGCTGCGAGCTAGTGGGGCCACCAACCCACGACCGGCATGAGCCGCATCGACGACATGTCCGTCTCCCGGGCCGCCCGCCGTCACAGCAGCACAACATGGGATTGTTGCGAAACTCAATGCACCGCGCGTAAGCAGGTTGTATCTGCGTAGCCCCCCGGCACCATCTCCGTCCTTGTGGTTGTCGTCCTCCTCCTTGTGCCTTCTACCCCGCAACACCCATCATGTCATTGCCGTATGATTTAGGCATGGCGGCTGTCCCAGGGATCGCCCGTGCGTCACACTCTCTTTCAGATTCCCATCTGAGATTCCGATCTGAGATTGGATTTAGCCATGTCGCGGGCCGCGGGGCTGATGGCGTTTGGGGATTGATGGTTTCTGCTTGCAGGTCAGCTGGCTGTTGCAGGGGCAAGTCGTCCCATATTGTTGGACTTCCCTACACATCATATCGTGAATAAGTTTTGTCGGTCTTGTGTTTGCCAACGGGGGCAATAGCATACCGCGGGCATTGCACAGGTCCCCAGTCAATCCAATGGTATAGAACCCTCGAGTTGCTCAATTAGCATCTGCATCGTTATGGTCTCCCATGGCACCAGAGCCTACCAAGCTAGTCTCCCGCCCAGGAGCTTTTGCTCCAGGCACGCTACGTGAAGCATGAACTTTTCTTTTCTTATTCCGCAGATCACAGCCAACAATGACGGCGACAAATCGACACAATCGCATGCTTTTCCAACACAGACAGTAACATCAGCGAGGGGCAGGAAGCCCGCCCAGACGCCTCGCGCCTTGTCCGCCCCAAAAGCTAAGGCTTCTAGGCCCCCCTCCCGGAAACAGCATCTGGCATATCGGCTCGATCCAATGCATCAGAGCACCGCATCGCGTTTCCAGCCCGCACAAGCCTTCCCTTTCCCATCGGACGCGGATGGCTAATTGGCCCCGGAGCCTTGTCTCCTGCCCCTCCTCGTCCTCCTTCGCCGACCTCATCGGTCGATCGATCGGGATATGCCACGGACAGTTGGCGCGAGCCCGAAGTCCCCCGTCCCCCCCTGACCAGCCTAGCGCGCGTGTGCACTCCCGTTACCGTGACAGGAACCGCATCCTAAGAGATCGTAGGGCTGGCGAAGCGTTGTCCCTAACTGAGACCTCCCATCACCTTAACCATCACGCACGCCGACAGCTCGGGTCGCCGTAGCTTCTCAAAAAGCTTTCGCCTAACCGGCCCCTAAACCCCACATTTCGTTCATTCCCCTTGCGCCGGTCATTGCCCCTTGCGGAGAGCTGCCTGACAGGCACGCTTGCGCCGTCACCGACGCTTTGAAGCCCCGCGTCGGTTTGCTGTAGCTTTTGCAGGAATAAGAAACGATTCATGAGCCATTGAAAGTAAGAAGACAGTAAGTACGCACCGACTTTTCCATCATCTCGATCTGGAAGACGAAAAGCTCGGGGCATTGATTGTACCTGCGTGACACGTCATGACTCCACAAAGGGCATCCTGGAAGACGGCCGATCATCGAGAAAGATGCCAAAGGAACGCAGTATCATGAATTCTTGGCGGTTCCCCCCGCTCGGGCGTTGGCCCGGTAGCTGCGGCTGGATGCCGGCCGGCCACGCTCTCCAGCCCGTTTGTAACGAGCATTTCATGCGAGAGACGCAGGTTAGACGCGGCGTTTAGAGTCAATGATGCCATCATGACATCGGATTCCTCCCCCTAGCCCTTTCCCCATGTGCTGTCTCAAGCTGTGATGTAAGCTTGCCGAGGGGTTGGTGGCTTTGGCTCTGCCTTAGCTGAGCTGAGCTTTGTCTTTCCAGAAGCACATCACCTAAGCTCCGTATGTCAACACGTTAGTCCAGACGTCGGCGAAGTTGTATAAGAGGGGATCATTCCTGCAACCCCATTTCCAGTTTCCCTTCTCATCATCACACAACAAACAACTCCAGCAGTCACAAACTCTTAAGCTTCACAGCTCAATAAACACCTTTCAAGAAACCAATCAACCCCACCAAACCACCAACATGCCTACCGAAGCTCAGATCGCCGGCGGCCACAAGGCCAACATCAACAACCCCAACACTTCCGAGGAGAGCAAGAAGAACTCCAAGGCCGTGCTCGAGAACGAGTTCAACGGTGGTGACGTCCCCAAGTCCGGCGACAACGAGGACAAGAACCCTGGCAACGTTGCTGGCGGTCTTAAGGCGTGAGTCTTTTCGCATCTCGTACAGCGCCTCGAGAATATTTGCTAAACAATACCTCATAGCACCCTCAAGAACCCCAACGTCTCCGACGAGGCTAAGCAGTCCGCCAAGGAGCGTCTTGACAACATGTAAAGCAAGCGATTTGAATGATTTTCCACTCCATAAACTGGAGCACGGACAGGAGTTATATGGACGAGTTACGTCACTGTATCTTAGCCACTATTCATTGCTTGGCGCATGCAAGCACTCAATGAGAATATTGTGAAACTCCAAAACCGCTCAATCGAGCACAACCGTGTTTGTCGTTATTGTTTGACCACTTGTGTGAATATGTTGTACCGACATTTTGCTACCGGCTAATCAATAAACATTAATAGGATACTTAATATTTTACCTGTTAACATATTGTACTTTTTGTCAATCTTCCTCTCCAAACTACCGTCTTTACAGACTAAGTATGAATTAGTTATGTTTCACGTTACAAGCTTACCATATTCCTATTTGATTCTTACGATATTTGGGGAAATGGCGCGTTGAATGACATAATCATTACGGTCTTCTCTCAGCTTCTGTTCATCACTTCTATAAATCTATTTCTCGACGGAACCAAACGAGCGAACTGTGTCCACCACGCATTCCTCAAAGCTCCTGTACTTTAAGCCGAGAACATTGATGCTTTTTTGGTTGTTCACCTGGTATACCTTGTCCGGCAATTCTGCAGTGTTGTTGTTAGCGCTTCAAATCCTTTAAGTTTCGATTGGAGCAAAAAAGACTAACCGCCACCCTTGGTGCACTTCGAAGGGAGTGCAGACTTGTACTCCGGGAAGTTCTTGCGGATGATGTCGATGATCTGGCGGTTGGAACAGCAGCCCCCGGTGATGAAGAAGCGCTGGTTTGCTGCCTGTTCCTTCTCCATGGCCATGACGTGGGCGAAAGCTACGTCGCGAACGTCTGCGAAAATGGGGTTCTGCGTGCCAAGTCGTTCTGGTTAGCTTCATATTCTTGAACACTGACAGCTGTTGCTCTCGGATGGCTTGGAGAGGGGCAAGTTTACTTACCGTTGTAGGAGCAATTTCCTTCTTCGCGGCACCAAGAATGAAGCTCCTGATGAATTGGTTTGAGGTGTTGAGCGCGTCAAGCGAAGCCAGCTCCTGCACGGCCGGGCCAAACACGAGCGGCGGATTGATGGTCGATAGAGTGAAGCCTGGAGACTCGTTCTCTACAAAACTCCACGCGGCCTTCTCGGCGAACGTTTTGCTTGCTGTGGCGGCACCAGAAAAATGTTAGCCAAGCTTGGAAAACCGTTGGTTGCCAAAGGTGGACTGATCCCATACCAGAGTAAGCGAACCCCGGGTTCTCTAAGGCTTGCTCGAGCGTGATTGGGTTCCAGTCCTTCTAGTCGTAGGTGTGGTCGGGCCACAGGCCCTTGGAGATATCCATCATGGAACCAAAAGACGACGTGATAACCACTCGCTTCACGGATGGAGCGCCGTCCATGATCGCACGAAGTATACCCGTCGTCCCGTTGATGGCTGGGTCAAGCAGGTCGGCTTGGATGTCCGTCACATTAAACGTGAATGGGCTGGCGGTGTGAATTACGGCCTCAAAAGGAGCATCGGACTTGACAGCTTCGTTGAAGGCATCAGGCTGAACCACATCCGGCACAATGGCAAAGTGTAGTTTTTCGGGGCCGAAGCCGGGATTCGAGGCCCTGATAGCGTCGGCTTTGGCTTGATTGCGAACAGTAGTGACGACGGAATGTCTAGAGAGGGATATCATGTGAGTTTGACGACCTTAGAGACCGAGATGCGCAGTTCTTACTTACCCTCTCTCTAGGAGAAGACGAAGGATGTGAGTGGCGATGAAGCCACTACCACCAGTGAGCAGGACTCTGGTCATCTTGGTTGCGGTGAAAGACTTGATAGATTGAACTACTAGTTGAAGGATAGAGAGTGCTTGTTCATGTTCACGGTCTACAAGGGCCAACTACGATGTATTTAAAAACTTGTTGATTCTGTAGGGTTATCGCCAAGCCTGCTACCGATGTGTGGATTTAAGCTTAACTTAGCTCCGAATCTCCTCATCGTGCTGACAAGACATCACGACACATATGACAGTGTGGGTTATGTGGGCTACGTTGGAACGGTTTCGAACGGAGCGAAGTCTCTTAAGACCGATATCGATACCCAATATCTAGCCACTTGGACGCGGTTGTAACCCAGTATCTGGTCACCGGGATACGCGTATTTGGCCGTACCCACTTTTCACTTGGGAAAGGGGAGCATCGTCAGATGATCAAGAAAGATACCATTTCTATAATGTTATTTCTGAGAGGTAGTATCGACGGGTATTGAAGTGCATCGCTATGTATCCCATTGCATAGGCATGCCATAACTCATCATAGGGATGACTATCCCTCAAAATTGTCTCAGTTCGGCTGTAGGCAAGCGCACTTTCCGAAATCGTTGATTCTAGTACTTCGAGAGGACTACGACCCGAAGAAAGTGCGCTCTTATGTATGTAATTCCTCACCTCCCCGGCCTTCTCCTCCTTGTAGAATCTGTTTTCTGTCTGTCAGTACTTGTTGAATTCATGATGATGATATCTCTTACGATAAAATGTCGTTCGTTAAGTTGATAAACTTCCCCATCTCGGGCGCCGCCGGCATGAAGCGCGATATGTCAGGACACATGTCTCTGTAGAAGCAGAAATATGTGTAAACTTCAGGCAGGCCCTCCTTGTCCCTGAAATAGTAGGGCCAACTGGGAGCCTCCATAGAAGGGATGATGGCTTGGTAGTCTCGGCGAATTTCAATGGCGTTGGAGTTGACAAAAGCCAGCGCAGACAGTACGATCAGGTTAGCAACAACGGGATCATAGTAGTCCGTCGTCGACCTTAGGACGTCCGCAAAGCACTCTAGGACGCTACATGGTTGCAGATCCCCCCTTGAGAATCGTGACTGGAAGTTTGCCAGGTTTGGGCCCAGCTCAGCGTTGAGGTCATCAATAATGAACCCAAGCCAGGTGAAAAGGCCGATGTGAACCTGAATATCGAAAGGGTGAAGAGGGTACATCTCCTGCGCAGAACATTAGCTTGACGAGGTTCCTCGGTTGAGATATATGATCTACATACCGCAGCTACAGCCAAGCCAGCCTCAAATCTCATTCTCGAGCCATCGTCCGAATTGACATACACGCCCGCCTCACGACCTCTTGAGAGAATCGCCTCTCTGAGGGCGTCTCTACTCGGCTTCGCAGGTTGGGTGTAATTGATGCACTTGAGAAACGTCGGGATGAGACATGAGAGACGATGCCGGAGCCCCTCCATGGCGGGCGTGACTGTCAATGATTCAGTCATGTTAACGTCTTTCACTTCAACAATGCATGTCAACTCTCACCAACAGGAACTCGAGCGGAAAACGCTGTCTTTAATCTCCATAGATCTCCACAACGAAGACCAAGCCGTGTAGGTAGCCACAAAGGCCGTACTGTGAGACTGAGCTGAGATGCTATTCCGAGCTGTCCGCAAGGTATCGAAATGAAGCGCGGCCCGCGGACGTAACCTGGGGCCGCAATTAAGTAGAGTTTTCGCGTCACCGTTCAAGAACTAGGCGGTGAGTGAACGAGTCATGTAAAGATTGAGTATGGGTATTCGGTGTCGTTTTTGGCCAGTTTCCATAAGCTGCATCTCGTGACACCGCAACGCCCCTAAGCTGTACTTGAGAGAACAGGGAGAGCTTCGACTGTTGCTGTTGATGTTGCGGAAGTCTGATCTTACATACTTGTTACCGGAGAACCCGAAGGATCCTGTGTTCAACATTTTCCTCCAATCAATGAACTGTATCAACTTTCTCACCTCAGAATCCGCTCACCCCATGTATACAAGACTTTGGTAGGCCAGCTTTGGGAAGTAGTTCTGTTAGTAACACTTCGACCAATCCATCCCCGGTGGACAGGGGGGAGCGGATTCTGACCTCGGTAAGTTGATACGATATACCTTTTTGAGTTTCTGAACACAGCATTACAGGAGTCCGAGGCATGTCGTCTCAATGACATGAGTAATACCCGGCCAAAATCTCCAGGGAGCTACGTATGATTCAGTTCTAACAGCTGCATCTATGGAGTAGTCTAGGGTGTGTCGGCACTTGAAGCCGCGGTGGAGAACACTAAACTCTAAATATATGAACACAAGATACGTCGAAGATACGCGTCGTTGGACCCTTGATTTGGCGGAACATCCAGAGGATAGCTTACAAGCGGTGGCAGGGTTCTAGTTGAAGGCGATGGGCGATTTTCGATATATTAAGCAACCTTTGACGATGAAGCCACTGTGTCTGAGACCAGTCCGTCACACTTCAGTTCTGTCAAATTGTCAATCTCTTTCAAAGCAGACCCTGTCACGCATACCATACCCCTTTCTCTTCCAGGACAAACAAACTCGTCAACATGTCGACCACAACTATCACTGCTACTCAGCAGACGGACCGCAGCAGATTCAACTTTCAGCATCGATGGTTTGACAGAACGATCGAGCACTGGGAACAGCGCACCAGCTCTCTCCGCGGGAAAAAGCTGAGAGTTTTGGAAGTTGGCTCCTTCGAGGGCGGTTCCGCTACGTGGATCCTCGACAACCTCATGGATCACCCGGAGTCGACATTTACCGCCGTCGATACCTTCGGTGGAAGCATGGAGTTCCAGAATGACACATACAAAGAGTTCGATGCTTACGACATCCCCTCTTTGGAGAAGCGCTTCCGGTCCAACGTTGCGAAATGCCGTCATGTCGACAAGCTCACCGTCATCAAGCGGTCCAGCCTTGACGCCCTCCCAACACTCAAGCACCAAGGTGCTCGTTTTGACTTCATCTACATCGACGGATCTCACGTCGCTCTTGATGTCTTGCACGACGCAGTGCTCGCCTGGGGCATGCTCGAGGTTGGAGGCACCATTGTGTTCGACGACTATACCTTGAACAGGTACAACGAGGAAAGCTACAACCCGCCTGCTGCAGTCGATTCTCTCATTCGATGCGCAGCCTTCGAAGCGCAGGCCAGTCAAGCAGGGTCGCAGATGTGGGTCAACAAGGTGCCCCAGCTATTCCCGCCCACGCTTAACCCCGAGAGGGAGTTGATTGTCGAGGACGACTGAGCGTCAGCTGAAGAGAGTTTCGGATAGAATTGTAGTAGAGCATAGGCAGCCATCTGATTCGATATCACACATGCAACTGTCGCGAAGGAAGGGGAGAGGGTCCCATGTTGGTGGGGCTCAGGTCATCGAAACCAATCAGAATGGAAGGATACATTCGCATCATGCTGCGTAGAGCTGAATAGAAAAGATTACATTACAATTCAAGAACCCCACGATCATCTCTGTCGAACCTTAGGTTCTGCTTCTTTACAACCATTAGTGAACAAATCACCTGTTTCCAGGGGACAAACCCCCGGAATTCCACATGTAATACCTTTCAGCAGCGTGGACACGTGACGGGTCCGTGTTGCGTACTCCAGATGTTTCCTCTTGTGTGTGATTGGGACTTCGTACCTCAAAGACCTAAATCGAGTACCGGCCGGCAATGCTTTTCTGGATTGATTCACTTTAGAGGGACTTGAACGACTTTGCAAATTCGGCTCAACTGACTCTTGCAAGGGCCCACAAATATGGATAATTGAAAATTAAAACTTCGAGTGGATCGTATCGTGTACATGGGTGATGACTCCCGACAATTCACTCAAGACCGAATGCATTGTGAATGAGGAGCCCCTGGTTCTCCTCAGCCGACAACCATTGAGCCATTGCCTCTATCTCCCTGGCGAAAGAGGCCATACCGTCTCCAGAACTCCACTCGAGCCCGGCCCCCCTGAGATGCAAGAACACGGTGGTCACAGCACTCTCGTCTGCTGTTCCACAGCCACGACTACTGGAGCCTGCAGAGACCACGAGTCCGACTCGTGGCTTTTGCACCGACTTCAACATGTCCATATTTTCGAAGTGGGAGAGCCTAGCATCCTCCGTGGAAGACCGTGACTGGGGTGCGCTCTCACCGAGTCCGGGGGCCCAGTTGAACATAAGTGAGCCATGAATCAGAGGCAGCAGCGGCCAGGGCCTGTTCTCGGCGTTGGGGTCTTCGAGCTTGTCCATGATAGCCCGCCAAGGTGCGGACGCGTGTCTGGTCTGAAGCTCCTGCTCTCGCTGCATTCTACGCAGGAATTGGGAAACTGTCTCCCGCTCGCTGCCATATCTCGGCATCTCCACCACGTTGCATACTATTTGCACTGTAGGGCCTGCCACGTCGCCAGCCTCCCACTGCAGAGACCTGTCGTGCTCTTCCCCACGGCGTGGCATGCCGGTGTCCGTGACGGACTGGGGCAGAAAAGGGTTGTAGTGTAATCTCGCGGCTTCGACGCTGGAGAATACGGCCACCCTCGATTTGCGCCCTGTTGCGGTTTCTGTCGTTGTGTAGCCACTCCGACTCGCGCTTGCTAAGGCCAATGCGGCTTTGACAATGGTGGATGGAGATACGGTCGTGGGATCCGTGGGGTCTGCTCTAAGGGCTGACATCGAGAAGTTGTGCTGCAGTTGATGGCTTTCTTGATAATGACCATCCAGTGAGACATTCATCCAGGTCGTCGGACTTGGCCACAATGCCCCAGCATCAACATGTTTTGGCAGCGAGGCAAGACGATCGAGATGCCAATTCACCGCCGCCTTAGCCCGCGGAGAGCTACGCAGAGCGTGGCATAAGTCCAAATAGGGCTTGTAGTCCTTGTACTCTCGAAGCTGTGCTTGGATGCTGGCGGCAGTCCAACTGCCTGAAGCAGCCATAGCGACGGCTCGGTCGAGGTCGTCGTGGAATAACTGTCCTGCAGAATGATCACTGATAGAGTGGTTTGCGGATGTCACCATCGCCGCAGTGCCAGTCTCTTCTACGTCGAAGAGCATGACTCGATAAAGCGGCCCGGGAAACGTGTTTTGTTGCGGTGCTGGGAATCGATGGGCCTCGGCAGTATTTCCGAGTGCGATCTCCTCAAGATCTTTCAAGCAGCGTACGGCACCGCCGTCTTGTATGACCAAGTCGAAATACTTTGCTGACGGGCGCATGATGACGTGGAATGCTTCCTTTGTCTTGGGATTGACACCGCGCCAGTCTGCATCCCAGACCATGAACGAGCACATGATGGGTTGATTGAGCAACGCCGCTTCTACCGCAGTGCGAAGTTGCTAAGCAGAAAAACATTCTATCAGCATCTTGAGATGTAGATATGAGAGATAGATAGTGATTAAATACCTTTTTAGTTGTCTTCTTCTTGGTACTGATAGCCATGTTGAAGTTGATGGTATCATAGAAACCGCACTGAGCCTGCACAGCATTCGAGTCATATGCAGGGCAGATGTTCTCAATATCTTCCCACCCGAAGCCGCATGGCGAGATGGATCCCAGAACCCGATCTTTGATGAAGTCGAACAGTGCCGGTTCGGGGGCGATGTCCTCCAATTCTTCTGCTAAAAGAGGTCTTCGTGTTGCAATCCTGTTGTCGGCAGCTGCCATCCTTCTTTGTTGGTTGGCGAGATGCGCCACATTTGCGTCCTTCATCGTTGACGTTGTCTTATGATCGGCTGACAGGCTGCGCAGAAGTTCAATCTGCTCCGCAACAGTCGATGCTTGAGCCATGGCTGCTAATGGAAGCGCTATACCTGTTTGCTTTCTGATTTTGTCGCGGACGCGCATCATGGTGATGCTGTCTATGTGCTGCCCAAGAGGTATGTTGACGTCCAGCTGAGATGTATTACTCAGCCCGAGGGCCGTCGTCCAAATAGCTTTGACCTGCTCTTCGTCATGCTGTTCGAGCCCGGACAATGTGCTGGCTGCCCCAGAAGTAGCCTGCCTGTCAAGATGGGCTGCTACAGCCTGCTTCAGCTTGAACTTCTGGATCTTACCCGACGTCGTTCTGGGAAAGTCTGCTAGGTCGAGATCCTTAAGGTTGATAACCAGATCCGGGACATGCATCGTGGACATATTCTGGAGCACGGTTTCTCGAATTGCCTTTTCGACTGCAGTAGCTTGTTGATCACCTTTGATCACCACAGCGGGAACCTCTCCAGCAATGGTGTCTCTGATGCCAACACTGGAGAGCGCATCGTGTCAGCACTTTCTACGACAATCAAGTAGGACCGAAGTAGAGATGCGCAGAAGTCAATAACTTACACTTGTGGATTGAGAGGGCGGAGGGCAGGGTTCTTCATAAGAACAGCCTCAATAGCAGCGGGCGAAATGTTTTCACCGCCGCGGATAATCCTGCAAAGCATCGGTCAGTTAACGCAAGATATCCGAGGCGTTGAACGTCCACAGAGCTGCACATACATATCCTTGTAACGTCCGGTGATGAAGAGATCCCCGTTCTCGTCCATTCTTCCCATGTCTCCGGTCTGAAACCACACTCTGCCCGTCTCCTCCTCAGCGTAAAATGCCTTCTGCTCTTCATGCTGGATGTATCCCCATCTTCCTTCGCGGTATATCATGGGACCATATCCGTGGATCTCTCCTGTGACGTTTCGTGGAACGACACGGCCCGTGGCAGGATCTATGATTTTGATACCGTGGCCCATTGGCGGCTTCCCCACAGACATCTCTTCCGAACCGGACAAAGAACTGTCAGGACCTGCCTCAGAAACACCTACGCTGCCGGTGCTGGTGAGCGCACCTTCGGTGCAACCATAAGCATTTTCGACAACTTTAGCCCCGAGAACTTTGGTTGTCGCGAGCATCTCCTGCCTGGTCAAAATCGTTCCACCAAAGGTGACGCTGATGAGTGATCCAAGAGGGGGCTGGCCATTTTCCATAGCTGCAACCAATGCGTGTATCAGAGTCGGAACCAACAGCGTGTGCGTGATCTGTTCTTGGCGAAAGGTAGATAGCAATGCTTCCGGAGTCGAGAACGCCGGGCCAGGGAAGACTAGGGCCGCACCGCGGCCGTGTGCAGTTTGTATACAGGTCCAGCCGTTTCCATGGTTATTCGGGAGAATACTGCATACTCTCGAGCCAAGTTGTGGTAGAATGTGAGACGGTGAAAGTAGGAGTCGGCTGTTCGTGTAAGTGTTCAAGACCGTGTGATGGCAGAATAAGCCCTTGGGCCTGCTTGTTGAACCGCTAGTGCTACACAAAACATCAGCACCGCCAAGTTCTTGAGACGACTGTTAGTCTTAGGCTAACATACAAGAGAACGATGCCGGCCTGGGCATGATCCTTGCCTTCAAGGCCAAGAACTGGGTTGGAGTGGCACAAATCACTTCTGCCCTTGCCATCGATCGACAACATCAAATCATCAAGGCGAAGCCAGCCTTCTCTCATTTTGGACCCCGAAGCCAATATCTTGACAACTTGGGGTCCAAAAATGTTGTTATCAATACCCAGCTCATCAATATCTCTGGCCACATCTGAATTGGCAGCGTAGACAAACCTCAGGCCATAACCATCGGGGGCAAGACTCAAAGCTGTTCTCAGCATGTGAGCTGCTTCATCGCGATTCTTGAGTAACAGTGGATTCAAAGGGGTCAAGGTGCAGCCTGTTGCAACAGATGCCCAAGCCGCAAGTACAAAGTCCGCACCATTCTGGAGAAATGTTACCACCGGGGTTCCCGGGCCGAGTTCTTCCAGTAGATCAGCATCTGCGACTATGGACCTTTTGGCCACCACAAGCTTGTGGATAGCTTGAGCAAGAGTTTGAAAATCCCAGCGAAGATACGGCTTAGATTCATTTCCGGGACTTGTGTCTTCAGAGGCAGAAGGGCCAAGACTAGAAAAGCCAAACAGATCATGCGGCTGATGAGAACACACCAAGGCCAACTCGTTTGGGTGGCTTCTTATAGCCAAAAGCAAGCCATTCCAGGCGTCAGGAACTCCTGAAAGATCGAGAGGCGGACCGTCGGCTACGCTGAGATCAAGTGATGCTGACACTGGAGCAGCCATGTTTGGTTTGCTGATGTTCGGAGGTTATGCAAGTTGTTTTTGAAATTTTGAAGAGTGAAATTACTGAGAGAGTGACAGATGCTTACACACATGTTGTAAAACGTGAAGTTTATGGCACAAGTGGCATCGGTTACACCGGCGACACCGGTGACACCCGTATGTTGAGAGTTCCTAGGATTAGTCCTCGACCCGTACAAGTCTTTCACTCACCGCCCTATTAATATCAGCAAAGCATGGAATTGTTTGAATGGTTAGTTGATTGGCCATGAGCGCATACGAACAAATTGATTCTCGTTGACTGAGTCCTGACTCGATACTCTTCTGTCCCCAGTTCGTGATCCCGAACCCGCAGTTGCCGGGGAGGCAAGTCCCACACAGTGGAAACTTTAAATCGGTAATTGTGACATTGAATGTTATCAAAAGAACCCCTACTTTGACCCTGGATTGAGATGGAAGCGCTTGCCACAATCCACATGGCCTGCCTGACATAGATCTCGGTCTAGCGTCATGGAGACCGCCCCATGCCTTCCATCATGTCTGCCCCATTACCTACTGTAATGCGTTAGCGAGATCATCGAAGTATTTTCCAAAAGTGTATCATCGAAATGGCGCCAAATCTCCTAGTGCCAATATTTCTCGTTGACTCCCTGCATGCACCAGAATACCGTCACAACTTGACAAAATGGGAATCCGCTGACCACCTGCATACTGGGCATGCATTGGTCCAATCGTTACTAACAGAACTACTTCCCCGAAGACCACCAACCAATGCCTTGCTGACAAGGATTCAGCGGATTCTTATTCTTACAAGGTGTCTTCCTAGCCCCTTGCAGCAGCTCGTAAGAGATGTTAAATCGGGCACTTTCTTTCATGGAATGCTTTGGTTATCAGGATCTGGCCGTTGCGCTTGCTCATTTTCAAGCCCATCTTACAATCTGCGGGCACGTTCTTCACCTAGCAAGACCTCAGAAGGGCCTTGCTCCCTTCCACACAACCCCATCTGTTTTGGTTCCCTTTGACATCCCCAATTCTGGTCTTATCAATATCCAAAAATGACCTTTTTGACATCTTCAACAAAACATTTCTCATCTTTGGTATTCACTAGCCGACTGTTCTATGTTGCCATCGTATCATACTTCCTCATTGCCATTGTGAGGTCATGGAGTCGCTTATGGCATCTCCCGGGCCCATTCCCATGTTCTTTCTCGTACTGGCCGATGTTCAGAATTCGCTGTCATGGCTCCCGCGCGTATTCTGAATACGCCAGGCTCACGGCGCAGTACGGCAAACTCGTTCGTATAGGTCCTAACGATGTGATCACGTCCGATCCGGAGCTTATTAGGCGCATGTCAGCAGCGAAGTCCACTTATGAGCGCAGCAGCTGGTACAAGGCGACTCGGCTAGACCCATACCACGATATGATGGGTAGCGTGCTTGACAAATCTGCTCATCACTCTTTGAGGACGAAACTGTCTCCAGGTTACGTGGGAAAGGACATCCCAGGACTAGAGGCCAGTATTGACTCTGGAATCGCGGAACTGGTTGACTTGATCCGCCTTAAGTACACGTCGAGGTCAAAGATTGCCACCATTACTGAAACGGACGGAAAGGACCAGGTTTCTAAGCCCTCGGATTTGGAGCCTGTCGATTTCGGCCGCCTTGCAGACTACTACGCCATGGATGCGCGGTCGAGGATGTCTTTCGGCCGGCCTATCGGACTTCTGCAGAAAGACACGGATGTCTTTGGCCTTATCAGAACGTCGAATTTTGCCATAGATGTGCTCCAATTCTTCACGGACATTCCCGCGCTGCAGATGATCTTCACGTCGGATCTCGTGCTGAGATTCTTGGGCCCAAAGCCGACGGATTCGAGTGGTTTCGGAAAGATTATGGGGTAAGTCAATAGGCTTTCTGTGAACTCGATGGTTGAAGTCCATGGCACAGACATGTGGCTTGGGAGATCATTATCATGTTAACCGGCGTGGCCTGCAGACTTGCCGAGCAGCACGTTGTGAAGCGCTTCGCTCCAGATGCAAAGGACGAGCCCGACCTACTTGTAAGCCAATCTAAGAAAACACCGAGTTTCATTGTAGATCATTTACAAGTTGAATAGGGATCTTTCATTCGCCGTGGCCTTGATCAACGCTCCGCGCAGTCTGAAATCATGTTTCCAATGGTCGCTGGCTCGGATACTGCCGCGAAGGCCATCAAGTGGACAATGCAATACCTACTGAGCAATCCATCCACTTTCAAAAGTCTTGAAGAGGAAATTATGACAGCGATTTCAAACGGAACAGTCTCTGAGCCAATCACTAACATAGAGGCTCTGAAACTTCCCTTTCTTCAGGTAAACCAAGTCCGCACATGCCGAGCTGATAGATGTAATCAAGCTCCTCTGCTTCGCGCTAACTCCGATCTTCTTAGGCAGTCATTTACGAGTCCCTCCGTGTTCACCCACCATTCACTGGCTTGCTCATGAAACAGGTCGGGCCTGAAGGTGATGTACACAAGGGTACATTTTTGCCTCCAGGTACAAGAGTCGCACACGACACGTGGTCAGTGACGCACGACACACAGCTATTCGGAGAGGACGCCCACATATTCCGACCCCAGAGATGGCTCGAAGCCGATGCGGTCACGGTCAAAGAATGGAAGAAACGGACCGAGCTGGTTTTTGGTGCTGGTAGGTGGCAGTGTGCGGGCAAGGCCGTGGCCATGATAGAGCTGAACAAGATCTTTGTCACGGTGAGTTTCTCAATCATTCTGGAAAATCATTGGAAGTATAATCAGCTAACATTCTCAATCCCAGCTCATTCGCAACTTCGAGTTTCTGCCGGCGAGTGCTTGTATGTCGGTTGTTATTAGAGTTCGCGAGACTCAAGCGATGTGATGGGGAAGAGCATCTGGTTCCAGAAATATGAGATGGGAAAACCGCCACAGGGGGCCAACAACCACGTGAGGTTGGACGGAATTAAGTGCACGCGAGAGCTTCTCGTCAATCCTCAAAATAGTGAATGCATAAGGCGCCCAGGAATGTCACCTCTGAGTCTTCATTTAGCCCATAAGAAAGCTCTGTTTTCTTATTACTGATACGAACTTCTATGACTACGAGTGAGACGCAGCCAGCCCTCAATCATCGACGACACCAAAGTCTGTCGGATTTTCAGCAGCACAAGGACCACGTGTGAATTAGCACTTGGCTTATTGACTAATTATTGTTCCACCCAAAAAGTTCTGATCAGATACAGTTTGGTACGTTCTCCGCAGATATGCAATAGATTCTCAAAGACTTTAATTTAAACTGTGAGATTTGGCGACCAACAGAAGGTACCTGAGATGCACGGAAGATCGCAAGAGCTGTGATGCAGTGTAACTTCTGTTATCTCATTAGCTTCTCATCGACTCGTGATCGTATATTCGTTGGTCCGAATGGCACTTAGGCAGAATAGCTACACCAACAGCCACCAGTTTGTTCCACTTTATTGCAGACACGACAACTCCTTTCGTTGTTAGGACCAACAGCGACAAACAGGCGAATTCCCCCCTGTCACTGATCAGCCAATAAGAGGGGTAAGCTTCCGTTATCCGATGTAAATACAAATAGGCTGCGTTCTCCGCCTGGTTACAGAATATTCCATCGGTCTACATTCTCATGACTTTGTTCCGCAATGGCCGACAATCAGACCACCGCAATGGATGCCGGGAGCCCTGCGCCTGTTGGCCCCGCTCTCGAATCTGAACCTCGAAACAACAAGAATGTAAGGGACTTCGGATAGACGAGCATTCAATATCGCGCTGACTCTGCGCTGTAGGTCATAAATTACGATGCCTCCGACAGAGCACCAGTAAACAGGCCCGCCAATGCCGCGTTATCGGATAATCAAAAGATTCTTCTAACGCTTCTAAGTCTGTGTTATCATCGAGTACGAGCTTATCTAGTTTTATTCTCCAAAATCGCCTGGAGAACGGAAGACCTTATCACAAGTACAAGGACGCGGGAGTAGGCTCCCCAAGCTTTCGTCACCCTGTGTCAGTGGCATTTCTCATATGAATTAGAATACCTTTCCCCCAATGATGAGAGAAAGAATGATAGACTAGGTTAGTTTTATCTTCACATTCTCAACAACCCTTCTCACCTATGAACTAGACTTGCAACATAACCTCTATCTTTCAACCTTGGATTACAAGCTTGGCTTGCTCCCCCACACGAGAAAATTTCTGGTTTGAGGCGCGCACTTGACATTGGAATCGGCACTGGCCTTTGGGCAATTGAGTTCGCCGATGAGCACCCCGAGGCTGAAGTAAGTTGGCCTCTATGTAGAAGGACTGAATGCTGATGATGACCAGGTCCTGGGCATTGACCTTACTCCTGTACAAAATCGATTGTACTTTCTGATTCTTATTCCCACAGAGCTCATCTGCTCACATGTCGTCAGTGTTCCACCGAATGTTAAATTCGAAGTCGATGACATTGAGCAGCCGTGGGCGTATGGGCAACCTTTTGGCTATCCATATTCGTGGCATGACATCTAGCATCTCAGACTGGCCTGTATTTCTCGAGAACGTCTACAAGTTAGTGCCTTCGAGACAGCTCAACAGGTTCCATGATTGACCTGTTCTCTCTAGTGGCCTCGCCCCTGGTGGCTACATCGAATTATTTGAAGGTCACGCGCGTACTCAATCTGACGACGGATCAGTAACACCGGAGCATGCGATGTGGCAGTGGGCGGACAAGCTTGAAGAATGTTGCAAGATCCTTGGGCGTCCATTCGTTTACGTCCCAAGTCTTGTACCGATGCTCAAGGAGGCTGACTTTGTCGTTGTGAAGATCGTCCCGTTCAAGTGGCCGGTCCATCCGTGGGCCAAAGATGCGCATTATGAAGAGCTAGAGAATGGGCTTTTGCTAATGCTTTGGAGGGCCTCAAGGCACGGACTATCGCAGCGTTGACTAGGGCTCTCAACTGGAACTAAGCAGAGGTCCAGACTCTTCTGTCTGAAGTGCGCAAAGACATGAACGACAGAAGTATCCACCATTACACCCAATGTAAGTTTGACTTTTTACCTTGTTAGCTTTGATCCATTCTCCCCATGCCATCTGTCTAGCTAAAGGCTTGGCCTGTTTGCTGAATTTAGGATGCTAATGACAAGCAGGTGGGTGATCTATGCGCAGAAGCCAGCGGAGAAAATTGCAGCGCCATCCTAAACCCTTTGGGTTTGAGTTTGAGTTCGAGATACATACTCCAGAATTATGAACGAAGACAAAGTTTCTCTTGTTAGTAAAACCGATAATTTCAACTCTACAGTTCTGTTGAAGCAATTTCCGGAATAGCTTGGCAGTAAAACGCCTCCCATACTGATCTGGATAAACCAGAACTGGCAAGGTGAGAAGGACAAACAAGGTATAAAATAGAACACTCTCCAAAGCCGCACACTTTCCTGGCGTTATGTCGACGGTGATCAAGGTAAAGAACATAGATGTCATTTCAGTTTCCATGGGAGTGGAGGACTGCGCTGATTCTACCTATCACCTCTTTCCGATCACAGGCACTAAGCACATGCAGTCTCTGGTGCCTCCATATATGATCGTGTGGTTAGGAGTTAGAAAAGACCTCTTGTCGTTGTCATGTCGCACTGCGTCGGAATTTGGATTCATGTCACGCTGCACAATGATGGTAAGCCTTTCTGCGATGCCTGCTCAGACCAGCCAGACTGGTCAGCCTGGCTTATTGTCCAGGTAGTATGGCAGCTCTAGGCTGTCCAGATTCCGACGAAAGTCTTGTCCGCTGGTTGCCTTGATGTCCTCAGTTCTGCAGGCGAACCAGCGGGGTTGTGAGTCAAGTTGTACTGGCTCTCCAGGTTGAAAACCCTTACGTCTGGCTTAACATTTATAAGTCAATGAACAATATAATTTTGTCACTTCAGTCTCTTCTTCTCTCTTCTTCCTGAAGCCCCCCGCCCAGCAACGAAAAGCAAAAGAACAATATCGAAATGTCAGAAAGCAACAAGGAATCTCAGAGTGATGAGAACTCCACTTGTGGCTCTTCACCCGAAGTTGTCACGATGGCAATATCGGATCAGGAACAGCAGACAGCCGAAGACGTATCTACATGGCCTGAAAATGTGCCTCAATGGGCCGAATTTATTTTCAGCGGCATGAAGCCAGAGGACGTTGACGACGACTCACCATCGAGACTAGAATGGCTAAGACAGAAGCAAGATGACAACGAAAAGAACGTACACCTTGATCAACTCATGACTATGATTGGTCTTGAAAATTTGAAAGCCCATTTTCTTGCTGTCAAGGCCAGAGTCAAGGCGAGCAAGCAAACGGGCGACAAGCACAAGAAGTTGCGACTTCATCTAGTTCTCCACGGGAAAGATGGAACAGGTAAATTTTCTTGAACCAAAAAAATTGAACATAAACTGACCTACTATGGAAGGCAAAAAGTCTATTGCACAGCTTTATGCGCAGTTCCTCTATTCCATCGGGGCTGTGACTGAACAGACATTTGCTAGAACGTCGGGATATCGTTAAACGTCTGGACCTCGTCAGCACATTGACGATGACGATGATTGTGACTGTGACGATGACGATGATTGTGACTGCGACGATACTGATAACAATCGCGATGACGATGACGATTCCGAGGATCCCGACACCCGGTCAACTCCAGCCTCGCAAAAAGACCCTGCGGTAGGTTTGGACTATGAGTCTCATCGCTCGACACTAACAATGAGCAGGTTATCTTCTACGACATTCCTGGTGGCTACTTCGGCACAGACAGCGTGAGCAACGCCGTTGGTGATGCGAAAACATCTGTTGTGATTATCTCCTCCAGGGAAAAGACTCTTCTCGACCTTATCGAGAACAGCGAGGAGGCTTTGCAGCAGCTGCCGGTCCCGTTCACTCTCCCAGATTACAGCGATGATGAAATACGACAGCTTCTCGTGCGAATGATGCAGAAAAATGGCTTTTCAGTCAGGGGTGGGTTCAAGGATGGCAGTCTGCGCGCCTTGGCTCGGCGAATGGTACAAGAAGGAAAGGCGTCCCAACAGCGCTGGAGCGTATTTGATTACTTACAGCAAGAGTTGGAGGAGGCATGCAAGAGACGAGCACGTCGACTTCAAGCGGATTACATGCGATAATTTGACAATCCTACAAACTACGGCATCCAGTCATCAGGTCTCTCCGATCAGCAAAAAGATGGCGAGACGGACGCCACCGAGAACGCCGAGATTCTTGATGTTATTGACGATCAAAATACGGTCTTCATGCCACAAGACCTCTTAGGACCAGAGCCGAAGGACGCAAGAATCCACAACGCCTCATGGAAAAAGCTACAAACCATGATCGGACTAAACAAAGTCAAGAGCGAAATTGGTAATACCATCGACTTCTCTCAGACCAACTATCAACGTGAGCTTCTTGGAGTGAAGCCGCTAAAGATTGGTCTGAACAGATTGTTTCTCGGACCCCCTGGAGTAGGGAAAACGACTGTCGCTGCATTATACGGTCAGATACTCATCGACCTCGGGCTTGTGACTGGGACAAAGGTCATGGTCCGGAATCCGTCTGACTTGATTGGTAGATATGTTGGGGAATCAGAGCGGAAGACACAGGATATCCTCTCTCAAGCTCGGGGGAACGTGCTCATCATCGACGACGCACACATGTTGTATCCCAGAGCAAATGGAGGCGGCAACAAGACGGATATCTATCGCACAGCTGTGCTTGACACTATTGTTGCGAACGTGTCCGCAGATCCGGAGGACAGATGTATCATACTTGTCGGATACGGTCACGAGATGGGTCAACTGTTCAACAACTGCAATCCGGGGCTCCAGAGACGTTTCCCCAAAGAAACGGCTTTACACTTTGACCCGTACAGCGAGGATGAACTATGCCAGATCATGGATCTGAAAGCCGAGCAGTGTGACCTCAAAATGACACAGGATGCCAGGGCGGTATCTCGACAAGTCATCAGCCGCATGCGCATTAACCCAAAGATCGGCAATGCGGGAGATGTCGAGAACCTACTCAACCAGGCGAAGGTCCGCCTCAATGCGAGAATCAGATCGGGCCTTTCTCACAGGAAACCTGCCGTCGAGCCTGCCGATATTGACCCTCAATGGGATCGGGCTTCACAAGCTGAGGGAAACAGAGCAGCCCTCTTCAAAGATTTCGTCGGATTCAGAGAGATTGTCGAAAAGTTTGAAGGATATCAGCTCTTAGTTGACGGCATGCGGCTACATGACATTGATCCCAAGCCCTATATCCCCTGGGCCTTCATCTTCAAGGGCCCGCCGGGCACTGGTAAGACCTCGACGGCTCGAAAGATCGGACGCCTATACTACGATATGGGCCTGCTTTCCACAGACGAGGTTGTGACTTGCTCAGTCACCGATATTGTTGGAGAGTATGTGGGGCAAACCGGTCCCAAAGTTCTCAATACCCTTGAGACCGGCCTCGGAAAGGTTCTATTCATTGACGAAGCCTACCGTCTAGCCATGGGCAGCAATGGCACAAGTGGTTCCAGCTTCCACACGGAAGCCGTCGGAGAGCTAGTCGATGCCATGACACAACCGCGTTACAGGAACAACATGGTCGTAATCTTGGCCGGGTACACCCGCGAGATGGATTGTTTAATGCAAACCAACCCGGGGTTGCGAAGCAGATTCCCAGAACAGATCACATTTGAGCCCATGCCTCCACACGCATGTCTTCAGTATCTCAGGAACCAGCTTCAGAGGCTCAAGATCGGCGTAGTTGAAGGAGATGACTCGTCGGAGATTGTCCACGACCTGTTCGAACGTCTAAGCCTCACACCGAGGTGGGCCAGCGGTCGTGACGTCGAGACATTGGCCAGAAGGATCATTAGCAGTGTGTACATGCAGCAGGGCAAGTTCGGGAAGAAAGGAGCGGTGGTCCCCCTGCAGGTGACTACAACTGATCTTGTTTCCATACTCGAGGAGATGTGGGAGGAGCGCAGGGGAAGTAAGGCCACATCACATCACGCCCGGTAGCGTAATGACATGGAGCATCACCGGACGCATAGTGGTGACCTGGGCTATTGGGAGCTGTCAAGCTGACAAAAAGGCGTTGTACCGACTTCATCGTACAGATTCACTGCAATACCATGGCAATGCCTATTGAATCATCTGATCGAAACAGACTGTGAGTCACATGTGTGATCTTGTTGAGTGGAGACAGGTCGACTTTAAGGTGTTTGTCATCGGATGGGCTTCGCTCATCAAAGTAGACCCCGAGCCCACCATGGCACAGAGGCCTTACAAACAACAACATTCATAAACAATACAAGGTAGACTAAAAGCTTTTGCACCTGTGGAGGGATTTAAATACCGCATTACGGCTCTGGGAAGCCGAGAAAACTTTGAAACCTTCCAACATTTCATTTTCGCCTATCCCAGTTCTGCTCAACCAAACCCCATAAGATTAGAGACTTCAACCTTCCACTTCTTTTGACCTCATAATTCAATTGTTGAAAGAAACGATGGTTGTCACCGGAGGCTGTATTTGCGGTGCTGTGAGATACACCGCGGAATGTAAGTTCTGCCTGAGAACGCCATCCTAATTTCAGAGCTCATCATCCATGTCAGTGGACAACGCTACCAAAGCCGTTTGCCATTGCAAGCCTTGCCAAAAAGTAAGACCACCTTCAAACACAAACAAAACCCACTCTGACATGCAACAAAAAGCGGACTGCCAGCGCCTTCAGCGTCAACATCATCATCTCCCGCGATGCCTTCAAGATAACCCAAGGTAAGGGTGTGCCCGAGGATCCGCCTCACCTCTCAACTTTCTCATTGTATTTTCTGAAATGCAATTGCAGGCATCACCAGGTCATATCCCCACCTTGGCGACTCCGGCAAGCTGTACCACAGCCACTTCTGCGGCAACTGCGGCGCATCCACCCACGGAGTCCCCGACGCGTCCACCTCTGTTCTTGCCATCAAGGCAGGAAGCCTGGACTCCGAGTTCGTCGACTTGGACGCGATGGACTCTGAGTTCTATGTCGTCGACCGCTTGGGATATTTGAAGGCTCTGGAGGGCGTCAAGCAGCACGATGGAATGTAAATGAAGGTTACAGAAAGCTGGCGCTGCTAGAGATCACATACTACTTTGTACACAAGTTCAAGAACTTAATGTCTTCGCGGGTGTTGTGCTCTTTTCATGTCGATTGCAATGGCATAGCTCATATGTACTTCTGCATTGGATATATAAACATGCCCTTACAGCTGCTGTTGGTGTAGCATAGAAAGAGCAAATACAATAGCTGCGGTTCGAGTGCTCTGCTTTCTTGTCAATTGGTTTTCTGAGAATGATAACCATGAAAAGTATCCCCGATTCTATATGCTATCAAGATACAGTGAGTTTCACGCCCGATGAGTATCCGTAAGATATAACAGCTGGTCGCACAGAAAAGCCTAGAAGCGCCTGGAGGAATATGGGATACTAGCAATACAGCGGCATTAATGAGGTAGATTCTTAGCGTTTACTAACTAACCCCAGCGCAACATGCATCTCGGTCATGACAACCGCTTGCACGTACTAGATTTTGTAGCCCTCATGTACCCTTGAAACCTGATAAAAGGCATAACAACGGACAGTGATATCGAACACAGCGGGCAATTATCTGACACATGCCTTGTGATGCCTACATCAGAATCAGCTCAACCGTTGGAAATCGTCAACTTACAGTGCTGGTCACTTCCTATACTAACAAGACTTATGCCCACTCGCTGGATATTCTCCTCGTAGAGTATACTCACGGAATCACTAGACCACAGTGAGTAAAGGGACCAAAGATTTTGAATGGGTAGATTGACACATGTCATTGCGCAAGGCAATGCTCAAAAACAAGAAATCCGTCGTTGGCTTGGCACTTAACAAGTCGCGAGAACAACGCACAGAAACTAAGAGGCATTGCTGAGGAAACATACCAAATTATCTAAGGCTTATCATATTCGTTATTTCTTCATTCGATCTCACTCAACCTGATCGTGGCATTCTTGCGTCTCGCCTCTCCATCCACAAGAGCCCATCTTTCACGGACATTCATATGACATTCTAGAAAAGACCTCCATCAAAAGTTCTTTTCCAATGAAAACAAATGGAAGACAGCAGTTATTCCTTCTCATCAGATTTCATAGCGATCTAAGTCTACCATTTGTTAGCTGCCTTCCTGTGCTGCTTCAGCCTTAGCTGCTAGTCAAGTCTCTCTTGGGCCTGTCTTCAAACCTGAGAACCGTGGCGTTTAGTGAGTATGAAGCCTGTATGGGGGGACACTAGAGCCAGACGAAAGAAACAGGATACCTTCAGGATGAGGAGATGGTCAAGAAACGATGTCTCAAATTGACTGATGACCTTTGCATCAACACTAACAGAAGCTTGCAGCTGCAGCTGGGCTCGCGATTACAGGAAAACATTGTTGAACAGATAGTCCTATGCCTACTTAGCAATATTCTGTATATGTAAGATCGCACCTAGTCCCACTCTAATTAAGCAATGGATTTCATCATCAAAGCTGAAGGAAAATCAAGCGCATAGGCACTCTGATCATCAGCCATCGCAAGTCACCCTCTGGAATTCTCCCGCACCTTCATTTTGCTGAGTTACTGCTATAAAAGGCCCTCATGAATATGAAGAACGTCCAGGAACAAATGAGATTTGCCGAGTCGATCCACGATTCTGGAAACGTTGCTCTCAAAGCTGGAGTTCACTCCGTATGCCGCCTCTGTCGCTGCTTTTCTTCTCATACTAATTGAAACAAGCACCTGTGTATCACTTATACCGTAAGCAATACACAGCAGAAAGAAACGCAGGACGGTGTTAAGGCAAGCTGTAAAAAGGATGGGAAAGTTTCCAGTGACCAGGCTACCAAGACAAGACTGGCCAACGGTCGGAGAGACGGGTGCTGTTTGCGTTGAACTCAGAGAATACCTTGAATGATCCCGTCGCATTCTGCCTGTCAGAACCCGAGGAAATACGACATGTCATGTTTTATTGCCACATGAACATGAGACCGCACCGATACCCCTTAAAAGCCCATTAGAATCCGTCGAATCTTTTTCGCCGACAATGCGGGCTTGTTCTATGATGCTGAGTTTGCAGTTTCCCGTCCACATCCGCAACATCAAGACCGAGAACTTAAACGGTCCCAAACATACGCAAATACAGCCACGGTGTATTATGTACAAATAAGCAGCGGGTAGCGATGAATGACAGAACCAGGCCGAAATATGGAAGTTGGAAGCCTAGTCTATCTCACTTGCGTCCGGCGCCTGGTCCCACGCCAGACTTGAACTGTAGCAAGAGCGGATGCAATTCCATGGACCAATACCGAACATTTAAATGAAGGGAAGCCTGGGAAACAAACACAATCATGCTTTTATACCGCCGCAAGGACCCTCTTTGGCCGATGATGTCTTGCGTACCTTGGTTGCGCCTGGCTAGCAGACGACACGCGTGCTTCCCATCCGGGACTTGGGACGCCTAGCTTTCTCTCACCGTGCCATTATTAGACGAGTAGTGAAGCTATTCGAAGAGAATACAAAAACCAAATGATCAACTCCAGCAGCGTCATTGGGTGTTGCCCGACTACCTGTGAAACCTAAGCCGATGCCAAGAAGTGTTCCCTTTCATGTCCCACGACACTCAAAAACAGACTCAACACACATAATAAACCCCGAATATCGATCAAACACCCAAGAAACAACACAGACGAGAAGAGACGAGGCCGCTAATAGTAGACAAATAGAAAGTCTGCAACGCCGCTCATCATCAGCCAACCAGATTCTGAACAGGATGTTAACACCAGGCACTAACGACGATGTTCCCGGATTGTCATTTTCCACACGGTATCGCTCATTGCTGTCAAGAGAGGAGCATGTAGCCAGCATAAGAGATGCATTATATACTCAACCGGGCCGTTTCCCTCGACAGGTCGAGCACCACGACAACAACCTTCGTTTCAGCCTATCCGGGACCCTGGAACTGACTATTTGACGATCATACCGGCTTGACAGCTCGTGAGCAGTCTGCCCAATATCCCAACCAGTCTCCTTTCGCACGCATCATCAACACAGCACAGCATCGAAACTCGGATAATCATGTCATCGACCAAGAAAACAGTTCATGATTCCACGTCTTTCTACCGCTGAACCTAACAGTCCCATTCCGACAGCACGGCCGTCCCAAAACTCCGTACGATATGCCCCTATAATCACCCGACGCCTGAGCTCCAGACATCAAAACTCAAAAGCCCCAAATCTAATAACTACCCTCCTTCGAAACCCTCTATGACATCTTCTGCCGCTTAGAATCAAGCCCAGGCCCGCCGCCAGATGCCGTGCTAACCCCGCCATTATTCGACACATCCGCCAGAGCAGGGCGTCCGGCCCCGCCGTCCTGCTGGAGCGGCCTCTTCATCGTCGGCGGCCGGTACGAGCCGCGGTTGGCGAGGGGACTACCCGCGCCACCCGGGGCACCGATACGTCGGGCCTGACTGAACTGCGGATTCGGCGCGGGGCCAGCACCCGCGGGCCTAACAGGCGTGAATCCGGATCCCTTTGCTGGCGTCTCTGCTTGCTGTGTCGAGGTGGGCGGGACGTGCGTGCCGTTGCGGGAAAGGGGCTTCGAGGAGTTGTGGTCTATGCCGGGGGTTTTGCGTATGGATGGGCTCTCTGCCTTTGGATTGAAGGCTTGTTGCCCGGCTGGCATCATGAGAGGAGCGTCAGTGTTGGTCCCCTGCAGAGCAGAATCGGGGATTTGCTGTACGGCACGTGCGGAGAAGAAGGCTATTGGCTCGGCGGCGTTGGCACCACCACCGCCGCCCGGGGTCGTCATGTTGCCATTCGCTGGCGGGGCTGCGGGAGCTGACGGGGCGGTAGGATTCGTGGGGGCGCGTGGTTGGTTGGGTGGTTGAGGACGGTTTCCGTAGGCTGCTTGCGGTTGAGGACGTGAGTGTGCTTGATTTGGCGTCTGGGGAGCTCGGCCCAGGTTT